CCGTGGTCGGCCCAGCGCGGCACAGCCGGTCCCATACCACCCTTTTGTCAGCCCTCTATATATTCCCCTCTTCCTCACTGCGTCTGCCATCTCTGCTGCTCTCTGTCTCACTGTGTCTCTCTGCTCTTCTCCCAAGTGCGGAATCTTTTTTTTTTTTCATCCATTTCACCTCTGACTCACTGAGATGACCCATGTCAGTGTCTCCCAATGATGATGTCACTGGCTGCTTTGGAGGGATTGCCCCATGAGGGCTCTTTTGTGTGGTAGGAGCTCCCCTGCCATTGCTTGCTGTTTAGTGTGCTGACACACACACACACAGAATAGAGAGGGGGAAAAAAGCACATAAGCTGCCCGCCTGCCAAATACAACCATTTAATTGCAATTATGACATTTGACTTAATAAATGGCTTCACCGCTTTTCTAAGTGTTTTTTAAGGAATAACTCAAGGCACTCTTTGAAATAATTCATGAAAAAAAAAATTCTTATCAAGGCAGTTATGGCAATAATGAGGCTGGCAGAGTACAGCGTGTACATCAAGTGCATGCGCTGAGGAACATTGAAATGGATGATTCACAGTCTTGCCGTCCTCAGGGTCTCTGTGTCCCCAGCAGGACATCATACAGTCATCCTCAGTTTGGCAACAAAAAGCTTCACATAATTATACATAGAGAATAAGGAATCCTCCTCTCATCTAGCATCAAAGCAGCCAAGCCACCCCTAACCACATGCAAATCCACCCGGAAACAGACATCCAGACAATAGATGTTTCTGTAGTGTTGCAAACATATACTTGCGTACCCACAGAACTCCCATTCACACACACAATTTTCCAAAGAGTAGAATAATGGCCTAGAATGTTATTTTGAACAGCGATCTGCGGAGACGGTGTGTCCTTCGGGAGCACTTTCTCCTGGTGGTGACCTGATTGGGTGATAGCTGTTATGCTATTCCCCAAATGGTTGCCAACCCATTGGGAGGACAGCAGTTAGCCAGTTCTCTCTCATCTCTGGCCAAATGCCTGGAGAACCCTGAGGGGGGGGAATCCAGGGGGCGTGTTGGAAATTGTTATTATTGTACTTAACTTTATCACTGGGACAGTAGACTCAAAGAAACACTGTGTGTCAGCTTGTTAGGTTTAAAGGAGCCATTTGTCCTATATGTTGATCCACATGCATGTGTAGCTGACAATGATAATGTCCTTGTGCTGTCGTCAGCACTCTGATGCTGCAACATTGAAGACAAAGTAAGGTCAATGCCACCAATCTGAAGTTGTAACTTGTAAATGTGGCAGTTTACAAAGTGACAGCAGAATGAGACACCACAGGCTCGGAACCTTCCATGAAAAGAGTTAGTGGCTGTTTTTCATTTCAAGGTTCTAAACACATTTACTTATGAAGTTGTGATGAATTCACATGTGATTTAATCAATTAAGGAGAAGTGATTTTAACAGTATGTCCTCACAAACTTTTACTTTATCAGAGAGGAACCTCATAGATTGATCACTTTGCTCCTTTAATTACTTTGTCTTTTAATAAGATTAAGCAAACAGAATATACAGTGCAGCTAATGTGGAAACATCAGAAGAGTTCAATAAGTGTTTTCACTTTACAAACTGTCAAAATGAACTATGTACACTCATTTCATAATAGAGTGATGGACCTCCATGCTGATTCCCTTGTTAGGCTGTCTGCGACTCCAGATTTACTGTTTTATCCTATTGTTCTTATTTGTAATCTATGACGTTGTTTTTCTGTGAAGCCAAATTTCAACATTGTGGACTATAAAGTTTGACCTAACATAACCTTACAGTACACTTTTTTAACCTTCGATTGTCTAAAACACGTATTTGTCTTTTTTATTGTTTTACTTTCCAGCTGCTGTTACGCAACTTTAACAGAGTCAGACGCTGCATCATGTTCCTCATCAATACTGGCTGCTACATCAACAGCTGCTTCGAATGGCACTCACCACAGAGGAGCATCTGTGCTTTTTTGGTACGTAGAAGTGAGCTTTCATATGCAGTGCCATAAACTGTAGCATATTACCCACAAATCTGAGGATTTAGCTTGAAGTCTATACTGTTTCTACATGCACTAACAAACTAGTCTGGACACACACGCAGTAGGAGCTTACACTTTAGGCATTTCTGCTAACAAAGTATGGATCCTCCACTGGTAATTGCACACTTTAACACGAGAGATTGTTGACGTCTCAAGCACAGTTGAGTACACACTGTAACCCCTTACTGCAGACTACTCACACACTAAATACGGTGATATGATGGTCTCCATTAGCTCCTTCTCCTTGCTTTGCATCAAATATACAAGCATACTTTGTGTAAACTTGATAAGTGTGTGTTTTGATGCAGTTGCAGCTTAAGCACAATCTAAATAAGACTCTCGTATATGCAAGACAACATAGAAGATGCAACTACAATCTACTGAAGTGTGACAGGCTGTGTACAGACAGTGGAAGTGGCAGCCTCTCCCGTCAGCCCTCCTCTTCAACCTCTCCTCACTCTCCACCCTCTCCCTCTCTCCCTTCCTGTCATCTGTGTCTGGTATTAAAAGGTGAAGTGTAATTGGACAGCAGAGCTATCAGTAAAAGACATTCTCCTGCAGGGCAGTGAGTGGTTGCATGGAGGTTCCTACCCTAAAGATGACAGAGCAGACATTTAATCCTGTCTGGTTTAGTGTCCCGACTTAAGCAGCTACAGGACAGGTGGCCCCGCCCCGGCCCTTTACCACGGCAGTGTTCCACGGCAGACGTTAGACATTAGCAGCATTTGGCTGTCTGTCACCAGTTTTATCTCTGCAGGGGCTGCATGTGTGTATGTGTGTGTGTTTGTACAGCAGGTCACAGTGTCATCACAAGACACGGGTCAGAAGAGACATACTATTGATCAGTTAACATTTTCCCTCTGTGTGTGTGTAAGCCTGGTGTGTCGTGTGTGTTTGCATTTCCTCATGTGAGGCTGAGCGAGGTACAAGCTCCCACAGAAATAAATGAGAAAAAAGAAATGTCGGAATTCACACAAAACAAGGTCACTCCAGAATGTCCACTCTATACATGGTGAATGGAGAAAGGGAGGACGCAGCCTTGGATGGTGCAGCCTACATGTCAGAGCACAAACACATGTTGCATACCTTGTAAACCTTTTTCGTAATCATAGTTCGTAGTTCATCCGTTTCAGATTAAAAGAGCCAACTATTCATATTCTCACTGTACTCACCTAAATTTGAAGTATTCAGATGACAATAAAGGATTTATCAAGGCCAAGGACACAGCGTTTTATAGTTTCCACAAAGTCTGAAATGTAGGTGTCATTGTGGCCCCCTCCTCTCCTCCCACTTTTGGGAGTGTGCTATCGTAGGAGTATGCACTTAGCTAAAAGCATCAGAGTATTTAGGGTCTCTCCTCCACATAGGTACCCCCCCTCCCCACCCTCCATTTCTTCATCCTTTTCTCATTTCTCCCTCACTTTGAGAGGCCTCTTAATCACTTCGCTCATCTCTTTAAGTGGGTTTTTATGGGGGGCCATCTGGCCAAGGTGGTGCGTTCATAAAGGTGTGCGGCTGTGTGCAATTACGGGCACGTGTGTCTGTTCACATGTTCGCGTGTGTGTCTTGTCTGGCCGTCTCTCTACACAGATGTTCCACTTAACTTTCCTGTAGCTGCAGAGGTAGGGTCTTGGGCAATTCAACCCATAAATTTACAAAAGCGTGCAACAGCGACGCAATCCTGGTGGATATTGTGAAGGCATCGAAATGCAGTTGTCACACTTTGCTACTTCACAACGTTCCCTCAACAAAATATGCTCACATTTTTCTTCATGGTCCCCTACTCTCCTTCTGCCCATGTTCTGCAGTGCCAGCCGCATGTACACATCGTCCATTAGTGCCAGCTGTGATTTGTGTATATATTTTGTGTGTGTGTGTGTGTGAGAGAGAGAGAAAGAGAGATATCGTATAGTCTCACATGCAGCCTTTCTCTCTCTCTCTCTCACACCCACGCTGTTGTCACCCACCCATCCTGACAGTGAATCAGCCACCGTGGCAGCTTTGCCTGAGGCGTTGGCACAATGGACGGGACTGGAGTTACCTCCTGTCCTGCATGATGGGTGGTGTCTGTCTGTGTGTGTGTGTGTGTGTGTGCGTGTGTATGGGTGGATCATAGTGTCTCCGTCTCCCTGTCTGGAGGTTAAGCGTCAGCTTCCTCTCCCCACACCTGCGAGCTGAATGTCTCTCTCTCTCTCTTCAAATCGTCCATCCATCCCTGCTCCTCTTTATCTATCCCTCTCCTCCCCTCCCTCTTGCCTTTCCCTCCTGGAGACTTGAGGCCATTGTGGGGCTGAGCGGTGTTGGGTTCTGTTCTCCCGCCGCTGCCAGCTCTCCCTACGGCCCCTGCAAGACAAGGCTGTTATTGCCCCAGGGACCGCAGGCCTCAGCAGCTCTTCCTCCAAACAAATTTGCTGTAACTTTATCTGCAATTGGGCCCTGAATTGGGAGCAAATAGAGGCAGCTTTGTGAAGCTAGGGGAAGGGCGAGGGCAGCGAGCTGGGGGTTGTTGGGGAGGCAGGGGAAATGATACCGGGCTCTTTTATGTCAGGCAAAGTAGGACTCTTATCAGGAAGAGAGCCCAGACAAGGGAGCTACTTCTAGAGGAAACTGGAGCACCTATCACCTGCTTTGCATTTAGATAAAAATTCACCCTGCTGAAATAAAAAGGGAAAAAAGCAAAGACAGGTACAGAAGCAACTATTGGAGTGTCTGTGTGTGTTTTTTGTGTGTATATGTGTGTTTGCACATATCTGGTTGGCAGTTTGATACACGCATACACACACGCACAGCGCTGAGACGCCATAGCAGTCAGTGGTACACACCACTTGAGGTCTCTTTAAATTGCTCCTTTGACTCCTCTTCAAAGAACCTGTCTAACTTTTAAAAGTTTTAAAGTCTGGAGTTCGTCTTTGCCCACAGCAAGGGACAGCTTTGAAAGATATACTTTCACATTTTACTGCTCTCCTGATTTGCAAAATGAATGATAGTTGAAATATGGTGGCATGACTAACAGAGAATACAAAGTCAGAGTTTAATCACCAGAGATAGAGAGGAAATGCGTGAGACCCTTTGTTGAGTAGACGAGGAGTTTAAGAGAAAATGCGTGAGGCCCTTTGTTGAGCACTCGAGGAGTTTCAGCATCTGCACTTCTCCGCAGGTACCAGAGCTGTTGTAGCGCTGCGTCCATAAAATGGTGGATGTTTTATTTTAACACTTTACAACAAATTTTTGAAAGATTCAGGCTGCTTTTTTATCGTATGATGAGAATTACTTGTGCTGTAGATCTATGTTCTGCAGGAGTACAGCAGGGGGCAGTCTAGCACCACTGAATGATGGGTAAGGTCCGGTCACTAACAGGACACAGTCTCCCTCCCTCTCTTTAGTTCTTTCGAACTTAACAGGACTTCTAGTTGCTATCTGGCAACACTTAGTGCCAGCATGGAAGTTGATGTAAGAAAGATAAAGGGGAACTCTGAAATCCAAACTTCAGTTTCACTCCACTGAGACAGAGCAGGGGGAAAGTTAGCCTGGTGTGTGGTTAATGTAAGCCAAAGTACTGAATATTACCCTCCCACAGTGCTGCGGCTCAGAGCTGTAAGGACACGGCTTGTGTTTTGAAACAAATAATGCGAGATACAGTTCTCAACGTTCCTCGCTGAGTGCTTGAATAAAACATGTTCCCTTTTCTTTTTTACATTTTTAATATATCCTCTCAAGTTCAGGGGATTCTTAGTATTAAGAGAAAGCATCAAAGATTGTGACAACATGAAATTCAACTACTTGTCAAAATAATTTATTTTGCTGAATTTGTGTGTGGGTATTTTAGCCCAAATATTACAAATTATCGAGCCATGGTTTTTGCTTTGTTCGTGTTTGTGGTTGTCTATTTTAATTACATGTCTCATTTGAATTTTAAACTTACGCTCAGATGTGAAGTTTGCCCAGTTCAGACGAAGCCTTCAGCTGTGTTTGAAATGTTTCATCAGATTTGACAGTGGAAAATATTATTTTTACTTTGTTTAGTGACAATTGAATTGTTTTGTTGTTGGGACATTTCTGTGGATTTCACCAGAGACTTGTTGAAGTGCAAATCATTTTTAAATAGATTGTGACTGAGAAAAAAAAGATCTGACCTTTTTTATTTTTTCACAACAGCAGGTCGTTTAAGTGACAAATCAAATG